GGCAACGGAGCCCGGGAAGCACGGCGGGGGGGGGCGGCCCCTTCTTCGGGACGCAGAAGCGATCTGGCGACAGGGAAGTCGCCAGAATCGCTTCTGTTGTAAAGCCGACAGTCGGCTCTACAAGTTTAAACAGACTCCCGGCGGCAAAAGTCACCAGGAGTCTGTTTAAACAGCCCCGATGCTGGCGACGTACACTGTACGTCGTCAGTCACGAAGGGGTTAAGCAGTTCTCAACCTGCGGGTCGCTGTGTGATTTCTGCTGTGCTAGGTGAGAGGCCTCCTCGGCTCTCTCCTAGCACAGCAGTGTCAGTTCTCCCGCCACGCCGCCAGATGTTTTTGGGGTCACCACAACTTGGCAAATGTTACCAAGGGGTCCCGGCCCTAGAAAGGTTGAGAACCCCTGATCTACACTAAACTATGTGGGTGGAGGAATCTCCCACTGGGCCAAGCTTCAGTATCTTGCTAGTTGGCCCCACTGGCTGTCAAAATACCTGAACAATCCCAGCATCCAATCAGATTGTTTAGGTGTTTTGAGAGCCAGTGGGGCCGACTAGCAAGATACTGAAACCTGGCCCAGCCGGAGATTCCCTCTGTCCACACAGTTTAGCGTAGATGGAGGAATCTGTTGCACTTTTCCATCTGACCACAGCAAATCTGCTGATACTCTATAGGTGTATGGCCAGTTTTACATGATAGTCATGTACATCCCATCTCCATTCTGTCTCTGTGACCTGTATATTAACCCTTCACCTCCCTTTCCATGCACATTAATCCCCTCAAATGGCCTCCTAATGAAGGGTTATTCAAAGCTGGTACTCAAGTGAGTAATGTACGTTCAATGAATAACGTGTTTATACAAAGAAACCCTTTTTATTATCCTGCTTAGCTCAGTCAAAATTAAGCCAGCAATTATCTGGAATTTTAGCAATTGCTAGCTCTATTGTAAAAATATTGATAAAGTCACAAAAACATCTAGGAATGATATTAAGGGAGGTTTTCTTCTCCAGAGTACATCGATTGCTACTTGTAATCCTTTGGGTAAGTATCATATTGTTCCTACTGGATGGAATCTGCCTTCAAGAAGAGCTTGATGGCAGGAAGTGAGGGAATATCTATCTAATGGAGCCCTGGTTAGCAATAAAAAGCAGGCACAGGCTCTAACCCTTCCACACTCTACCCAAAACTAAGAAAAAACAAAGTTTTAGCTGGACATACACTTTAAGTCTAATAGGTTATCAGTCTATGGTAATCATTATATTTATTTATTTTTTTGGCTTTTCAGGGTGAAAGAAGAAGCCTTTTGGAGGAACTATTTTTACAGGGTATCTCTAATAAAGCAATCTGCACAACTAACTGCATTGGCAGCCCAGCAATCCACAGGCAAATCTGATAAGACAAATGGCAAGCCAGGTGATGGGGGTTTAGAAGGTACTAGCACTATGTTTTTGTAACGCGTTTGTAACCTAAATGTTTGTAATCCAGAGGTCCTTCCATCCAGTATAATATAAGTATTACTGTATCCGGTAACCACATATATGTACCCATTTGTTTAAGCAGTGCCTGGCAATCATATAGGCAATAGTAATATATTATGGTAAAAGGGGGCAAATCCTACTCGGTAGACTATCATAGTAACAAAGTGTAGAAGATTGGCAACTGAGCAGTGCTCTACCTACATATACACAGCCGTGCTCTGACCATAGCTATAAAACGTCTTGACTATGGAAGAGTCCAGTCAAGACTTCTGGCAGAGTGCATCTTTGCTGCAGAGTGTTGGAAGGTTGGGGACCGTGAGTTGTCTTCTGGGAGCCAGGGTAGGTGGCAAAGTGTGGCTGCATTTCTTGTAGCGGGTGGTGGTGATGGTAGGGAATAGCTGGGACACAATGCGGTCTATGGAGAAGGATTTTGTTAGCTGGAATGTAATCAGGCTTAGAGTGGTATTGGGCAATCGGTAGCCCTGCTCTGCTAAGGTGATGGTGGACAATCAGGAGCTCAGTGCTGAACTTGACCCACCAATTTAATGTCTCCCAAAGCACTTATTTTTAAGGCATGCCAACTGTCAAGGCTACCAGTGTGCTTATTACGGCTCTCAACTGATCCCTCAAATGGTTGATGTCTTATCTGATACCGTGCAGCACCATGGCAACTGCAATCCAAATAGAGGCTAAGATGGCACCTTCTGCAGAAAAGAAAAGGGAACATAATGGAGTTACGCCAAAGCAATATTAATATATAGTATACCAGTCCCCGGGGTTTCAACAAAACTATTCGAAAAATGGATTGTCCCCAAATTATAGAAATCCCTTATTCAGAGCTGGTTCAGTAAACGGGTAGAAAGATATATAATTTATCAAATTGAATATTTAATCGTAGAAAAAACTTAAACAATACATCCACAACAAAACATTTAAAAACAATTAAAAAACTTCCCTTAGATAAACAGTGGTTAAAGAATCATGGATGATCTGCAGACCAACTGATGTGGCATGAAAGATTAGAGCAGATACATACAATGTCATTCATGTACGGATACAAAGTATCACAAGTTACTCACAGCTCATGTAGCTCAGGGAGCTCGGGGAGAGACAGGCCTGCTCGAGTCCCACAGCACTGAATGATTTAATTTGCTTCAATAAGCGTATCCAGTAGTAGTAGTTAGGATCCAGAGATAGGGATATGTGAATAGGGCTGAAAGATGTAAGCGCCCATCCCTTTTTCCCTTGCTTGGGACTCTCACTAGCCCTCGGGCTTGAATTTCAAATTTGAGAGCTATCCCAAAAGCACTTCCATATATGTGTGTGCGGCCGCACAGTGAACAAAGCTGAAAGGTAGATGCAGGTGCAGGAGTCTCGACGGTGAGAAGTTTCCAGGTGCCGTATTGGATCCACAGGCTGTGTAAATAGCGCAAACTGTCGTCCGGTCGTTTTTTTCTCTCAATCTCTGCTGGATTGATGTAACATCCGATGCAGCTAGACTCAGACCATATCCCAGCCGGCTGCGCTCCGTCTCCGCACTTAGACGCCCAGTTTCAGCCGAGACTAATGTGCGGGATGAGCTTTGGTGAGTGTCCAGGGAAGTTGTTAGCACACGTTACCCTGACGCGTTTCCTCACCACACAGGGGCTTCCTCAGAGAGGCGTGTACTTTGAGTCTTGCATGGATGCATTAAATAGCCGATTAATGAGGCTAATAGACTGCCAGATTTCGCACAATCAAGCAATCAGCCGGCTATGTCGTTTTTCAAAAGGTGTACTTCGAGTATTGCATATACTTTAATATAACGTAATGGCACCTGTGGGGCCTTAAATGACATTCCTGAGTACCTTTACCCGTATATAATCACAAGTATACATATATTTTCACTACTGTAAAGTAATAAACTTTTAAACATCATATGTGTCCAAACCGGACTGAGAGGAAACTCCTGTTGTTTAAAAAAGTCCACTGGGACAAATCCCTATTGCAGAGAGAGTGCAGATGGATCCATCAAACGGAGGCTCATGTAGCGCCAGGTCTTAATGATATGATCAACTTTAGTTGTTATCTCTGAACAATATACACCAAACATAATGCTTCCTGCTTCAGTAATTGAAGCCTATGTATTTGGATCATATATATTTTTTCAATCCTGAGTTAAACCGGTTGCCTGTGATGCTTTAGTCATATTTTTATTATTTGCCAATTGACTATTTGATTTTCGGTAACATATATAAATGTTTGAATAATGTAGGGGACCCCTCATGGCCTTTGTCATCGTGGCTGAGTTTAGAACTGGCTGTATAATATTATGGGTGTCCACTAGGGGGTGCACCCCTAGGTGGGTTATACATTATAACTTGTCTCATTCGTATCTATATATCCTTATGTGACTCTGAAACTATTGTGTTGATTTAGCTATAGCAATAGAAATTATCCACAACCCCTTATGTGATCTTATGAGTGGCCCGTCTAAACTTCATCCCCTTTTTTAAACAACAGGAGTTTCCTCTCAGTCCGGTTTGTTTTTCCGGTTTCTTCTGGAGTGATAGTCAAAAACTGTAGAATCAGCATACGATGATCTTCCAAAGAAAATCAAACTTTATTCCACATGCATCAATACAAAAAACAACCGCTGATGTGTTTCTGCCTTACTCGGCCTTAGTCATAGCTGCCAGCTATGACTGTCGGCTATGACTAAGGCCAAGCAAGGCAGAAACGCATCAGCTATGACTGTCGGCTATGACTAAGGCCAAGCAAGGCAGAAACGCATCAGCTATGACTGTCGGCTATGACTAAGGCCAAGCAAGGCAGAAACGCATCAGCTATGACTGTCGGCTATGACTAAGGCCAAGCAAGGCAGAAACGCATCAGCTATGACTGTCGGCTATGACTAAGGCCAAGCAAGGCAGAAACGCATCAGCGGTTGTTTTTTGTATTGATGCATGTGCATGTGTTCTTCAGTTATGGATCACTTGGCCTCTTACTACCAGGATGGTTATAGAGGCCACTTGTTCGGGAATAGGGAGTCTGTTTTTTCGAAACCTGTAAGCAATACCTGCAGTGGCTGCTGGCTACAATGATTAATGCTGGCTACAATGGTTTTACCAATGTATCTACGGGTTCAGTTTTTAAAAACTGGAAGCTGAAGCAAAAAAGGTTACACAAAGTAACCAGTCAGCGCAGTCCTAAAAATATAAGGAAGCATCAGAGTAATAAAGCGGCTCTGTAATATGCAGTACAAATGGCATATAGTATATCATGTTCCTTACTGTTATCACTATAATACAGTGATCATCTTTCTGATCTTGTTTAGAGACTGTCAGACCAAAGACTCCACCAGTTGCTATAAAGAGTCAAATGAAAACCCAGGAGGTAATGTCATTTCTTCTTCATGTGATGGCTATGATATCACATTACATTTGTTTTGTTTCTGCTGTTTGTGTTTTACATGTGCGGTTGTCTATCAGTAAAGAAACATGACAGAAATCAGGTCTGCATTACACAGCATTCTTCACTCAGTCATGTTTTAGCTCAGGGGTAGCCAGCCTCGGCACGCCAGTGAAACAGAGTAAGGGGCATTATGGGATTTCTAGTTTTAACACAACTGGAGTGCCGAGGTTCCCACCTACCCCTATTTTAGGTAGTGGAAGTGTCTAGAAAACAGACACCGTTACTTTGGTTGCTATTTAAATGATTGACTTAGTCTGATTTGGCTACAATGGGTTTGAGAGTTTTATTATATACAGTGGTACCTCGGTTAACGCACTTAATTCATTCCACAATTCTGGTTGCGAACCGAATCAAATTTACCGCTCTGCACATTCTGGTCACCTTTATTAACGCTCTGCAAGTTCTTGTCGCCTTCATTACCGCTCTGCACTTTCTTTTTACCACCATGCTTGCTCTGCACTTTCTTTGGAACCATGCTGGATTAAATAATACTGTACAGTACTGTATGTGCTAAAAAGCACACAAAAAAGCTTCACAGCAAGTGTGCACAGGTCTGTATGTGACCGTAATCTGGACTAGAGGAAGCCAAGACCACGTGTCCGAGCGGGGAAGATGGTTGTGTTAGTCACCTAATGTGGAGTTCGCGAACGGAAGCAAAATTTTGCTGAACTTTCTGTTCGTAAACTGAATTGTTCGGTAACAGAAGCGTCCGTGATCCGAGGTATTACTGTATTTTATGTCATTTAGTGATCACAAACAGCAGCTTTAGTCTGAGTTCAATTCAAACAAAAATGGAAACCATCGCTGCAAGATTCCCTGGATCAACTAGCTGCAAGATCTCTCTCCAGGTGCTGGTCAGTGAGGCTCGCTGCTGCCTTGGATATCTCCACATGAAAAGATTTGACGGCACTCTGTATGAATCTTCACCAAATGCGAAAATGTATTTACAATCGCTGTAACACATTGTAATATAAGGATCCCATGGATACACCATCACGGCTTAGTCATAGAGGTAAGTTTGTTCTTACCTCTATGCCACTTAAGTATTAGCTGGTACCTCCTACATGCAGGTGTGGGTAAGTTGTTCCCATACAACATTCAGTTAACCCACACTGTGCCAGCTAAAAACAATGTGTCATTCTAAAACTAATTACAATACAAATCAAACTTTACATTTGAATACAAAAATGAAACCTAATAACTAAGAGTATAATGCAGACCCTCGTTCAATCTCACATTAAGTATCGAAAGCCAGCATATCTCTATAGAATACATCAAATACATGTACTTATAATGCAAACAATTCAACAAAAGATTTATATTAAAGAAATGGAAAGGCGTTAATGTGTGACACTTATAATGAGTTTTTATTATTATTGACACACATAAGCAGTACTGTGGGAACTATAACTCTCATTGAACCACTAAGGTAACTCAATCAACCAAGTAAACGGGAAGCCAGTAAAAATAACTGCGGGGATGACCCCAGCAGGATAGTGGCTGAACACAAGAGCAGAAACCACGCACTGTTCATGTGCTACAAGCTATGTAGAAGAAGTCACTCACATCTAGGTCCCATGCATCAATCCGTCCCTTTTATTGACATCACAAGCATCAAGCAACGTTCCAAAGCTAGCATGGTGCCTTCATCAGGCAAGAAGCACAGCGACTGCTTGCATGATGAAGGCACCATGCTAGCTTTGGAAACGTTGCTTTGTACTTGTGATGTCATATGTATCTGACGTCAATAAAAGGGACGGATTGATGCATGGGACCTAGATGTGTGAGTGACTTCTTCTACATTGTTTGTGGCTGGCACAGTGTGGGTTAACTGAATGTTGTACGTGAACAACTTACCCACACCTGCATGTAGGAGATACCAGCTAATACTAAAAGGAGAACTATGAGATGAGTGCTTTTCACTCACCTCATAGTTCTAGCCGACCTGTGACAATGAGACTGTCACAGGTCGGCTCAGTAGATCGGGAAGTGAGCTAACACATACCGGCCTTCGCTCACTTCTCGATCCTGTCACGACTCTCGGCCCGTGACAGGGGCTGGATTCCCCTCTCCCCGCTGCGATCTGCCAGCGCTGACTGGCAGAACGGACGGGGGAGGGGGCGGGAGGACGCTAGTTTGTGTCCTCCCGTTACCCTAAGGAGAACAAACTTACCTCTGTGACTAAGCCGTGATGGTGAAACATGTAAGAGGCGGATCCATGGGATCCTTGTATCGCAATGTGTTACAGAGATTAATACATTTTCACATTTGTTGAAGATTCATTCAGAGTGCGGTCAAATCTTTTTATGTGGAGCACCTTTTATTCTGCTTGTGCTTTTGTATGTTTCATACATTTTCATTGGCATCAAAACATCTGTTTTTGTCCCAATTCCATAATATGTACAATTGAAATGTACACTGTGTGTTTCCCTTTCATAGGAAGAAGAAGAGATTTCTACCAGCCCAGAAGTATCTGAATTTGTGAGTGAAGCATTTGATTCCTGCAACATAAACCAAGAAGACCTACGGAAAGAGATGGAACAGCTTGTGCTGGACAAAAAGGACGAGCTTGACACAGCAGAAGGTGCTCAGTTTATGGATTATTATTATTTTTTTCAATTTGTGTTTTTTGGTTTTTGCTTTTTTTTTTTTTTTACGATGTACTAGTTATACTCACTCACTCTTTCTTCCTTAAAGCAGTTTAATTATAGAAAGAAATAATATACATGTGTGTTTTTTAATTTTTTTCTTTAACCGCTTGAAGACCAGGTGTTTAGACCCCCTTCCTGGCCAGGCCATTTTTCAGTATTCAGCGCTGCGGTACTTTGACTGACATTTATTCCGTCATGCAACGCTGTACTGAAATATATTTTATACCATTTTTGGTGACAGAGCTTTCTTCTGGTGGTATTTAATCACCACTGGGTTTTATTTTTTACTATATTCAGGAGAAATTACTAAATTATAAAACAACTAATATTACCCACTTTTTTGGTAAAATATAAAAGACGGGGTCACGTCGGGTAAATAGACACCAAACATGTCAAGACCCAGACAACCTGCTTAAAGGCACCCCGGCCAAACAAAATGGACCTTTCTCTCCCGTTCATTGAAGGACACAGGCAACACATCGTAGATCCTGAATGGTAGGGTAATATCGCCACCTGCAGGAGAAGGACGCTAGGCACAAAACTAAAGACCAATTACAGCCTAGGGGCGGCCCCTGCCGGTGGCCAAACCCCCCACCTACTGACAAGTCTCCAGTTTAGTAACAAGCAGTTAGGAGTGTACACCCCATAAAGGTTGAAGGCCTGTGTCCTTCAATGAACGGAGAGAAAAGGATTTTACGGTGAGTACAAAAATCCTATTTTCTCTCCCGTTCATTGAAGGACACAGGGAACAGATCGGAGATCCTGTACTGTAGGGACGTCACAGAGCAGTAACACACTGAGGGATGGGCAACAACAAAACACCCAAAAGACCCCTCAAAGCGCCGCCTAGAGTGATCACCAGCAGGAGCAAGTTGGTCCTGATAAATGAATGGGTCCAACCTCGTCTAGAATACCATTTTGAGTTCTGGAGATCTCACTTAAAAAAAAGATTTTGATTAGATAGAATGAGTCCAGAGACAGGCAGCAAAAATTAGTTTTGAAGGGTCAAACATATCAGATGAAAGTGCAGGAACTTACTATGTACAGTCCTGAGTAAAGATGGAGAAAGTGAGACATGATTGAAGCCTTTAAATACATTAGGGAGGAAATAAGATTCAGGAGGACAGGATTTTCAATAGGAAGGAGGAAAGTTCAACAATAACCCTTAGAAAGTATTTTTCATTTTTTTTATTAATGGAAGTCTGTAGTTGATAACAGGAACAGACTTCCCACTGAGGTAGTGATTCAGTCAACAGTAAGTCCATTTAAATATGCTTGAGACAAACGTAGAGCTATCAAAAAAGGGACAGACTGGATGGACCACTTGGTCTTTTTCTGCCTACAATGGTATTCCCATTGCTGTTCAATGTGATGAGCAGAGATCAGGCTGAACAGCTGGGATGGGTAACCTTATTTATATAGCGCTGACAATGTATGCATTGCTTTGCATAGAGCACATTCACATCAGTCCCTGCCCTCAAGGATCTGAGGTCCCTATTTGTCATACATGCAGGGGGAATTTAGAGAGGAGCTAATTAACCTTTCAGCATGTCTTTGGAGTGTGGGAGGAAACCAGAGTACCCGGAGGAAACCCACACATAGCACAGAAAGATCTTGCAATGATACAAATCATTTAAAACTTAGTTTAACTCTTGGGTTCTACATTTCAGAGGAATCAGAAGACTGGATCCAGGAATTACAACAAGTGGTTCAAGAATATGAAGTCGTCTCTAGCTGTGACAAAATGAAGGATGAAAGCTGGGACAAGGAGATAGAGGAACTTCTCCAGGAGGATTAATTGTACTCTCTCTGAATACAGGCTGACCCGAAACATGTCTCGTCTCTGGTGTAACATTACTACAGTCATTCCTGCGCAAAGGCACAATGGCCTTTACTTGCTCAAGTGACCCTGTCAACATCTGCGTGGTATCCTTGATCACCACTAAATGTAAGCGCTCAAGGATTCTGGTTGATGAACTCTGTCACTTGAGAATGCATGGCCCTATGAGATGCTCTCTCTGTTATAGTTTTATACTGTAACTATATTTTTTTCAGATGGAATCATTTCCTGATGTAACAAACTAAAGTGATTTAAACTATATGGTGTATGGGTTTGTAATTTATGCAAGATAGTCTTTTTGCTCATCCTAATATATTCAAAATAAGTTGTGTAGAAAAAAAAATGAATCTGAACATTCAATACACCCCTGCTAAAGTACAGGCCTAGGTGCCAAACAATGGTTTACATCTTTATAGTAATGATTTGTCTTATGTATTTCTTTCTAATTGAACACCATTTCAGAGTATAATTATTTGGCTATACACAATTACTGGTTAAGTTATGACCTTCAGTAAAGTTTTACATGATTTTAATTTTCGTAGCGTCTTCTTGTCACTTGATATCCATTTGGTTTTGACCACATGACCTATGCAGGTTGGCTTCCCTATGGGGAGACTCTAAATACGAGGGTACAGTGCAAATATTTACTTTTCTAATGGTCAAGGTTTACAATGACAAATGTAAGGACAGCCATTCACAGTCCAGCTTTTTTTATGGTTGTAGCAAAAGTAAGGATGGTACAAACGAGGACCAAAGATGGAATTGGCATGTGTTGTTGCCTCTGACATCAGGTGTGATGTAACTGTGTCCATCTTACCTTGCGGCATGCCGTCTCTTTGATTCTTTATACAAAAAAATAGAAGACATTGTGTGAATAGGCAATGGTGAAAAGGGGCGGGTGATGCATGCAGAATACTGTGGTGCTCAAGACGCATCTCTCTATTCCCTCAGTGCCCAGGTGATGTTATGTGCAGGAGGCGGCATGCTGCAAGGTAATATTTTTATACAAAAAAGAAGGTTCCCCAAACAAAGAAATCCCTATATTGGAGCTGATCAGGTAAACAGGTGACACAAAATGGTAATGATGTATAAAAAAATATATTTAATGACAATTAAAGAACAATACACATAGGATCCAATATAACAAGACATCTAAAAACAAGTAAAAAGACATCCCCTTGAAATTCCACTTATAGTAATACGAGTGATAATCTAGAGACCACCTCAGTGGTAAATAGTCACTAATATATACACATAGATGTGTTTTAAAGACGGATACCATGTATCAGAGCGTACTCACAACCTGTGTGGTTTGCGATGAGGGACAGTCCTTGTAGGGTCCCCTGTTTAAACGTGGATGGAGTAAATTCTGTGAGGTGTATCTTAGTGTGGGATTGTGACTCCAGATAGTAGTTATCCTTGTTTGTCTGGAGGCTCCGATGAGCGTGTCACTCCCTGCTCAATTGAGCTCACACTGATCAGCGGGTGTCGATCACTTCTAATCCAGAAAATAATCCGGTGGTTGTTTCCAGCGTGTGCGGCCGCACAGCGAAGTGAATAAAGACACACTGGGCTGAAAGGTGGATGGTAGGATGGAGCAGCCTCAGCCCACAAGCTGTTCTCAATCTCCGTTCAGTTTCCTACAGATTTCACTGCAGTTGCGAGATAACAGCGGTTATCCGTCTTTAAAACACATCTATGTGTATATATTAGTGACTATTTACCACTGAGGTGGTCTCTAGATTATCACTCGTATTACTATAAGTGGAATTTCAAGGGGATGTCTTTTTACTTGTTTTTAGATGTCTTGTTATATTGGATCCTATGTGTATTTTTCTTTAATTGTCATTAAATATATTTTTTATACATCATTACCATTTTGTCTCACCTGTTTACCTGATCAGCTCCAATATAGGGATTTCTTTGTTTTGGGGAACCTTCTTTTTTGAATTAGTTTACGGAAACCCTGGAGACTGATATAGATCACATATTATAATCTATTTATAGCGTAGCTCCTTACTCCCCTTGTTTCTATTGTAATATTTTTATACTTTGCAACAGTCCTCCAGACATAACACACAGAGTTTTAATAATGTAGACACCTAATGAGGTCAGTAAATGATCACGTTTTCCTGGAGTGTGGCTTTAAATGCTTTCCAGTAGCTCCCAGCCCTCAGTTCTTGTGTTTCTTGCCTTCTGCATACACACATCCTCAGTTCTGTTTGTTTCTCCACATAGTCTTTCTAGAGTTAAGAGCAGGGGTCTCAATTCACTTGGGGGCCACGGCACACATTTTCTTCTCCCATGTGGGGGGCCGCTTGCCAAATTTCAGAAAATGTCATACTTCAACTAAAACATACTGTCTGCGTGTGTTTTATAATGTCAGTATATGTGTTTGTGATTCTTTGTATTCAATGCCGGTATATTTTGTGTGTGTGTGTCCTTTTTTTTTTTTTTTTTTTTTTTCTTTCCCCACTGGTTTTAAATTTAATCATAGATGACAAACTAACGCACACACACACACACACACACTATACTCCCAATAAGGCCCCATTTACACCTGTAAGTTTAGGTGCGATTAGGAATTCATGTCAGGAATTTGCATTTTCCTGCAGCAGGAATCCCTAATGGGGCATTTACAATTGGCAGCTGTCACCCGTTAAAGTTAATGATCAGGTGACAGCCGCAGCATGTAAACGCCTGCACACCGCATGTAATGGTATGTGATATGATTACATGCGGTTATAAATCAATCACTCCATGGATGCACAATTAATGCGTCCAGGAAGAGTGACTGATTTCTAACCATGTATATCACATTCGATTACATGCGGTGTGCAGGCGTTAACATGTATCGGCTGCTGAAGCAGAGACACCGGCACTCCAAATTTGCAAACTATGTCTATTGACGTGCATCGTGGTAAAAAAACGAACGTTTCGGGGTCACAAAGGAATGCACGTTGATTCCGCGAGCGCAGTGGGAATCAACAGGCAGTGGGGTGACTCCTCTTTCGCTTTTCATCTAGAGTTTCCGCTCTACAGTTGGAGACAAACGTATTGATGTCTGGTTGTGCTTTCAACAACTAAGGCAGAGACCGGCTTTTGCGGATTTCCATGTGTGGTGTCTTTCCCCGTTACATTGGCTGTTAATGATATTCTGACGGGTTATGAACACTTAAAAGGCAGACCTCCATCTCTTGTAATGAGTGGGCTCCTGATTCACAGCTATTTGGAGGTAACCATATGCACGTTATATCACATATATTGTGTTTTCTAATCTGTCACTTTAATGCTATCACAATTGGCGGGAACATGATGTCATGGAGTCAATGTGGAGGTTGATGTTTGGCCATTCTGATTAGGGTTGGGGCTATATATCAGCTGAGTTTATGTGCACTTACACTGTATGTTTTACCTGATGAAGGGGATCCTTTGTGACCCCGAAATGTTTGTTGTTTTCTACGAAGATGCACGTCAATAAATAGACGTATTTTGCAAATTTGGAGTGCCGGTGTCTCTGCTTTGACCCGTTGACTACCGCAGCACCCAATTCTTGAAGGGATTCACGCAGTCAGGAGTGCGATGGGACAATGGACTATCTATAAACATGTATCGGCTGTTGGCCAAATCATCAACTTGAACAGGTGACAGCTGCCGCTTGTAATCACCAGATTAGGGATTCCTGCTGCGGAAAAGCGCAAGTTCCTGACGCAGGAATCCTTAAGCGGACCTAAACTTACAGGTGTAAATGTAGCCCAATATATATAATATATACACTAATGTGTATATATTACGGTCTGTACCTTTTTTTTTTTTTCTTCTTCATGCGGCCCCGCAGCCAGCCAACTGGTACCAGTTAGCAGGCCTGAACTAGCCCGTGGGCCGGTATTTTGAGAGCCCTGGTTAAGAGACTGTGCTTCCCTCCACTCTGTTCCCAAGGCCAAGAACCATCTGGCAATGTGTTGCACAGTATCCGATCCTAAGGATACATCTTGGTGATTTTTCAAGTAAACCGTCCTGGATGATGATTTGGGAAAACATCAGTTATTCCCTGATCACTCCTTTTCCAGGAATCCTCTACAATGGTGAGTTCCCTCACTTTAATGTTGGTGTGATAATTGTGTTGTCCTACGGAGTCATTTTTCTAACACTGAAAGCTACTGGAGGGCTTGTGTTTCCTGCAGAACTATCTCTCAGGTAAACCATCCTTTGTACCAGAAACATGATTCTAGTGCCTAGGGGGTGAATTGCAGAATAAACATTTATTTATATATAGTTTTTGTAGGGCCAAACTAAAGTTCTGGAACATATTCTGTCCAAAAAAAAGAAAAAGTAGACCAACATGCTGCACCACTGATGCACAGAGGTTCTGAGGAATGCGAGTGCTGACATTCTTTATTGTGTGTTAACATAGAAGATGTTATAAAAAGCAAACGCATACTTCCCTGTCTACTAGGAAGAGGAGAGGAACAATTGCTGTGTGGTCAGGTGACTGAAGACAAAATACATTAAAAAAGGTAGAAAAAACCCCCCCAAAAGCATCAAAACATAATTTGATAATTACACAGGATAACCTTTACTACGTGTTGATGGGAACTTCTGCATTCACATACATTTGAATCATCTTTCGAAAAAAATAAAATTCTTTATATATTCATAACATTTGCATATGGTCTGTATTTTTTCTATAAGTATTTCTGTCCAGAAGTATACGAACAGACCGCACTATCCAGAGAATTCCAATACTGCAGACTTTATTAAAATTCACAGCAAATCCAGTAGATCAGTGAAAAAGTGTATAAAGCTAACTAGGTTGTAGTTGGTTGGGGGTGTGCAGTGCTGGCATTTGTTGCTTTATACACTTCTATTCACTGATCTACTGGATTTGCTGTGAATTTCAATAAAGTCTGAAGTATTGGAATCCTCTGGATAGTGCGGTCTGTACGTATACTGCTGCATTCCAAGGTGGAGACGCACCTATTAGACCAGCACCTGGGGAGTTCTGATGGTGGCTAAGGAATTGGAGCGGTGAGATTTCCTTTGGCTCTACATTTATTTCTGTCCAGAGTTGCATTCATTTTTTTCACCTAGATCTGGTAGTGATGATGGGACCACAGTGTAAAGTCTTCTCCAGCACATCCCAAAGATTCTCAGTGGTGGGCAATCCATGTGTGAAAATGATGTCTCAGGCTCCCTGAACCACTCTTTCACAATTTGAGCCCAATGAATTGTCATCTTGGAATATACCCAATGGGGGTGATTTACTAACCTAAACACACGCACACACCAGGTGCATGTGATTTTCACACAGCAAAACGTATTTATGAACCAAAAAGTCTC